TTTTAAAATATATATATATATATAAAGTAAAATCTTGCAAAAAAAAAAAATGAAACACCTGGGTTTAGCTGTATTTTATTTCCATGTGAAGCACTGGAGATTGAATAAGGGCCTTGTACTTGCTCTACACGCACTTTAATCACTGAGGTACATACACTCCATGACCTGATCTGTGCTTCCTTAGGGGTTCTACTCTTAGACTGTGGAGGCTGCTCAGTGGTAGCATAAGCAAAGTAGTCCAGGAGTTCAATGCCCAACATAAAAACGGGGATGGGAGAGGGGTGTTCCATGCTTGTCATTCTGAGTTCACTTGGGGAAAGATTGCTATAAGACGAATAAAGTTACAAGACAACTAATAAACCTTAGAATCAAGTTTCATTTGTTGCTATGGTTCTATAGATGAGATATAGTCAAGTAACTGCTCAAGGCAAGTTTTGGTGAGTTACAAACTCCTAAAATTGTTTACATAGATGAAACTGACACATAAGATACATACTTTCAGTGTAAGGAGTATGTAATATGTATTGATGTAAATGGACATATTTTTCTTTAGTAGAGAGGGAACTAAAAAAAGACACTCATAAACATATGCTCACCTACAAAAAAAAAAAAATTAAAACTTTCAGTGCTGGATGAGAGAGAGCTGATCTTTAAGGGAGTGACTCTAGATGGGCTGACTCAACTCCAGTGGATGAACTTGCACTGAGGGACATCTTGCACACAAACTTGACTCACTAGGCTTCAACATATATGACAAAATGCATGAAACTGGGGGGAGGGCGGTGCAAATGGGGACGAGAGTATCAAGATGATTAAGGTGTTTTATATGAAATGCACGAATTCAATAAAATATACATTGAAAAAAAAAACTTTCAGTTTCTCCCAACTATCATCTCCCTCTCTCAAACCCTACATAAAAAGTAAACAAGCAAACTAGTTGGCTAATCTACTTCCAACTTTTTTTCTTTTGCTTATTATTTCTCTAATTCAAGAATTAGATAAAGAATATCTGTAGTGTATATGGTCTTTTTTGCTTTGCCTGTGAGACAGGGTATTGATTTTAACCCAAGCTGGCCTTCAACTCCTAATTCTCCTGCCTTAGCACTCCAGCCTGTTGGGATTATGGGTATGGACAACCATGCCTGGCTCCTTAAGTCTACATTTCTAAGGCCACTTCTTTGATGACTAAACAAAAGGAGGTCAACTAGGAGGTCATCTCAGATACTAGTGGACTTTGTTGTATATGCTGACCCTTTCTTTCCTCACACATGACGGAGTCAATTTCCAAATTAGTTGGAAAATGGTTTTTAAAAGAAGGGTATGGGGCTGGAGAGATGGCTTAGTGGTTAAAAGCCCTGCTTGCTCCTGCAGAGGACCCAGATTCAGCTCTTAGCTACATGGTGGCTAACTCACCATCTGTAACTCCTTCCAGGGGATCCAATGCCCTCTTCTGGCCTACATGGGCACTGTATATACATGGTGGCAAAACACTCATAACCATGAAATACAAATAAATAAAATTGGGGGGTGGGTTGCAATCCAAAGCATGTATCTAGAATAAAGTCCACTAATAAAGATCCAAGATTTTAAAAAGAAAAAAAAAAAAAATGGAGGGTTAAGAGAAGCAGAAGGAGTGCTTACATGCTTAAGACCAAGTTCACTTATAGCTTATAGGTCTGCCTAACTAGTCAAGTTCAGATTACTCCTTTTTGTTTATTTTGATTGGGTTTTTTTTGTTTGTTTGTTCCTTGTTCTTTCTTGGGTTGTTATTTGTTTCTATACTGAGACAGGGTCTGATAGTCCAGGCTAACCTGAAACTTGCTGTATAGTTAGGCTGGCCTTGATCTCGTGATCCTCCTGCTTCAGCTTCCCAAGTGTCAGGATTATAAGCATGCATCACCATACCTGGCTTACAGTCAGGTTCCTTATTTAGCCCCTTGAAATGGTCTGGAAATTGAAACAGTATCTATCTTGGACCCATTTTTAGACTACTCTGCCATAAACCACGAGATTAATGAAATTCAGCAGAAAGCCAGTTATTAACAGAATGCATATTAGAGAGATATGGCAGGCTCTACCCTGTCAGTGTATATATGCCATACACTCATCACAGAACTCTGACATAAGTAAGAAACAAAAGCCTTGGGATTCAACTTACCTGAACAAAAAAAATAAAGTGCTTGAAAGATGTATTGAGATGTGCTTCCTCTTGAAGCTGGATCACAGGGTCAAAATGTTGATGATAAATGTGAGCATAAACCCTAAAGAGTCGTTTGAGTATAGTTTTTGCCACCGACATGAAATTCTTCGGGAATGGAACACCTAGTAAAGAAATAACCCTTCCATTAATAAGAGCACAAAGCAGCATGACTGCTATCACATAGCAGCACAGTCAAGACAAGGCTGAGATGCAGCATTCATGAATCACTATTTTATATGCCCACAATATCTTTCAGAAGTTCTCAGCACATCATGAATGAAAAGAAACTCCAGAGCTTCTATGAAACAAGAACTAGTCTTTTCATAGTTTACTATGCTTCTAACATACTGCCACTTTACTAAAATGAAACAAACACTCAAGGCACCAATAAAGCTAAAATTCACACCCAGACTCTTAGATTTGTTAACATTAACCCTCAACACAAATATGTGCAGAATATATTAACTACTTCAGTTCTATTTAAAATGCTTATAATTTTATCGATATCTTCCTTATTAAGGCCTGTTACCTACTATTCTTCTCCTTCAGGTTATTTCTTTTCCTTTACCTCACTGTTTCCTTACCCTTGTCCTGGTTCCTGGAGTAATGTCTGTTTGCACACTTATTTATCTGAGTCTGATGCTAGGATCCACATATGAGGGAGAACATATGTTGATTTTTTTTTTTGAGATTGTGTTACTTCACTTAGTATAACAGTTTCTAGTTCCATCCATTTACCTGCAAATTTCATGATTTCATCTTTCTTTACTGCTGAGT